TTTTTATGGAATAAAAAGCATACGAGCGTAGTTATCAGCCGATTGTCAGCCTTTTAAAAAAGATGTCCGCACGTATCTTTAATGTTTTATGGTCGTATCGCCAAAAGATAATTCCAAAGTTTTGCTTATAGGCAAGGGTTCAATCTGAAGATTAAATGAAAGAATTGGAAATAAAAACGCTTAAGGAAAATCTAAAAGATGATAAGACTTACTTGTGTCATAAATATAAATACAAACTAGACCAAAATTACCCCAGATGGAAGGTTGAAAGTCTAATTAGAAAAGATACTCTAAGCCTTTAGCATACTACGTGGCTAAAAATAACATATCTAATTATTTTCAGATCGTAAAGTTAATGTAGCAGACAAAATTAGACTTCAATACAATTGATATTATTGAAATAACTAAAGAAATCGTATGCACTGTTCATTTCAACTATCTCAAAGAATTTTCAAACAATAAGCATGTTAATTACTTCTCATTTTGCAGTCTTGAACTGTCTGGACCTTTGACTGACTGTATATAAACAGGTTATGTGTTTACAGTGTCATTAGAAACGATTAATGTTGTTAAGTAAGATCTTTTTAGACGCATATTGGTTGAAAAAAGGAAAACGGCTTTGAATACATTTTGTAATAAGATAGCAAAACTTATGGAGGGTTTTAAAATAAAAGATGTAACTGACAATATGTCCGATTTAAAGATTACAGGCTGCATCAAATAAAATTTTCTAATTTTAGCGAAATATCCTGTCACTTCCCTTCATATAAAAAATCTTAGCAGTAATTCAGTTTCCAAAACATGACATGATAAGACTGTCGGAATTGAGGCACCAATAGCTATAGAAATTAAATCACTCTGATACTACTAGCACTTGTCTTGGTATCTAGATCATAACCAGATTACTGAACTAGGTTAAAACAAATGTACTGGGAAAGAAGTTAAAGAGTTAGGACACCTTTTGTTGATGGAAGGTACAATTCTGAGATCGCCGCGTGTGACCGTTTTTTTTTGCAATAATGTTTCATGGTCAATTTACTGCGAAAATTGGAGGGTGTCTGCATTTTGTTGCGAGAGCATTCATGAAGGGAGAGTTATTTATAATATTTTGTAATTTTTTCTTATTGTCTAAACCGTCAAATGCGGAACTTGTGACCTTGAGTGATTGTTTTTGGATATTTACAAGTTCGTCATCAATATTTTATGATAGCCCTTTTTCATAATACATGTAGATATTTCAGATTTCACTCTTACATCATTCGTATACTACAATTTAGCGTAAGGAATACCTCAAGGGTCTGTATTGGGTCCATAACTAAAGGTTTTAAATTTTATTATTTATATTCGACGTCTAAGATCTTAAAGAACTCAAATGGTCACTTCTCTGTCTTCCTATCTTTTCATCATCGTTTTACTTTCGCAATACAACTCCTCAATCCATTCTATCATAAATACTTCGGTACCCGAACAATGAATACAAGACGCTGTTAATCTTCAACCAGACATTGCATTCTGCATGCATGCGATCATATACTGTCAAAAGTAGGTTACTGAAATACCAAAAACAATTCATCGGAATATCATCTTTATTTACTAAGTAACAGAGGACGTATTCCTATGAAGGTATCGCTTCCATCGTGACATTACTGAGTTTATTTCAAGAGTTGAACTTTGCAGTACAATTGGCTTTATCAGATACTTTCTATCAGCTGGAAAGGGCTTTGGTTTAGGTCGGTGGCAAGATTACAATAGTATTGTCTATTTTAACAATTAAAACTACCGAGTAATGTATACAAATTAACTTCACTAGGTTTAATGGATCCAATTAGAAAACTGGGGCCTTAACAAAAATGCATGAATGCAGAAGTTCAACTGTATAAAGATAAGATCCAGAGAATAGTAAATAAATGAAACTAAAACAAATGTAAAGGTAAAATCTATAGTAAAGTTGCAATATGAAATATAATTCTATTAAACTCTCAAGTGAACAATAAAACACAAATAAATTGCCATGAGCCATCTAAAGCTGAAGACAGCCAAAATAAGCTCCACGCTTTATATCATCATCATCATCATCTTCCTGCCCTTGTCCCGTTTTATTTGGGGTCGGCGCAATATGTTTTTTTCTTCCATTCTGTCCTGTCACTCGTCACGCTATCGCTAACTCCTCTGTCTTCCATATCACTTCTCACACAATCCATCCATATTTTCTTTGGTCTCCCCCTGCCTCTCCATCCATCCACATTTATACTCATGACTTTTGTCTTGTGACTATATAAATATCAAAATTGATTCAATAATAAAACTGCAATTGAATTTAAAAATCATTGAGCATTGACCTTAGTTATTAAGCAAAATAAATATTCATGACAATTTGATGATGATGATCAATCAATCAAAACTCTCAAGATTGGCTTTTGACAAGGATATCACCTTCAAATATAGAACTTGTTTCATACAGAAATTCGAAAGTCTAGTTCTTTAAGCTAATAATTTTAACCCTGTCGTCATGACTCACATATTTATCAGTTTCATATTTCTAAGTAAACATCTCCTTTTGGAAGCTATTAGGGAGAGCATCAGTAGCCGCTTGCAGCTGAAGATGATGATGAATATAATGGTTTAGAGGTGAAATTCAATTAAGAAAAGCCTCATCCAATCGTACATATTTTCAATGCAAACGATGTGAAGAAAAAGAATACATCGGATATATAGAATTTAATCAATCTTTATAAAAGAGCTGACAAGGAGACATCCCCGTAATATCTACCGTCAATGGAATAGCGAACTATAATAATATGATAGAAAAGATTAGACAATGCCTTTAACATATTTATTATGCAAAATGTGTAGTTGCCAAGCGCCAGGATACTGTAGGCGCCAATTTGTTGGGCGGGACGCCAACTGAGGATAATTCATTTCGTGTTTTGTCCATGATATATTTTGAAAACTTTCTGGATTTTCTAAACTATTGAGGTATGAAATTAGGATCTATCCATCCTTGGGTCAAATTTCATCTAAACACGCCAAGCTGTTTCGATGTTTGAGCTCAGCTAATAAACTTAAAAATCCGTGGCGCAAAAATATTTTTTTCAAAGAGAGAGAGAATATTCACTATGTAGGTACATTTCGAAGTATTCACCACACACATAAATATTGTGAGTAAAACAAGCCTAAATTCTATGATGTGGGTAAGGTTATCGATAAAATCGTAGGGTGACGTCATCAAGGCTGTATGGGTCACACTCGTGCGCACTTCGTTATTGTCATTTGCATAGCAATATGGAGGACGATTAGCCTGCGCGAGCGCTGCCTGTGTTCCGATTTACAATTACATAATTTGACTGCAAAATTTGCTGTAGAGACTATTTCCTAAACAGATATTTCTAGGTCTATAGTCTTTCTAAAACAATTAACTAGCGTATGCAATATGCACGTAATTTTTTATTAATATTTGTATTTCAATTCAAGTTTTGAGATGAATTATTGCCATGTTGCCCTTGAGAAAAATAACAATGCTTCCACTAGTTGAACTAAACGTGAAACCTAAGTGGGTTATCTTAGAATATAAATTAATAAAATAAACTGGACATAAATATCTCACTTTGGATTGTTTCAAACAGAGCTAGGTTAGATATGGTTACCTAGCTACTTAACATGTAGGTACTGTAAGATGGATTTTAGAGAAGCGTGTATGAAGAATCTGCATTGGTGTAATATTAAGTAAAATAATGTTTGTAACAACGATAAATGTTACAAATATTTCGGACTGTGAGCACACTAAGCGTGCTAAGGCTTGACCAGTGACCGACATAGAAGAGGCCTATCTCAAACTGTGACATATGACATGTGACACAAAGCACACTATAAGTTTCACTGACAACAAAGACATACCATATGGCGAAACGGTTCTTACGAAATCAGAACTTGAAACTCACAAAGGTTCAATTGAAACTACAAATGAAGTCTTCGGATAACATTCAAGTGATTCTAAAGAGGCCAATTAAGTAATTGATGTTTTATTTCTGGTTAAGAATTTGGGATTGAGAGTAGATCATTTATTTAAGGATGCTCTTAGGCTTAATGTTATTCTTGATTAGGGGTTTGAAGAATCTTTCTTAAGAACGAACGATGAAGAGATTATTTTGATCCGTTTATATACATTGATATTAATAAGTAGGAATAATTACATATTTATAAGTAACTTGTTGTGCTTCTTTCAATTGCTTTGAATCCTTTAAATTTTTATATGATTGTCATTGATGTCTGTCTGATGATTCAAGAGACGTAAGATATTAAATAAGTGCCAATTCCAAATAAAAAAGTGTTGAATACTACAGTTTATAGCTTTGTAAAAAAACTTTGTAAAATCTCTCGGGTACAACAAAAAACTAAGATCAAATACTACCATAATAAAATATCTGGGCTATCCAAATCTTTATCTTCATAATAACAGCCTTCAACAATGATAGCTATTTGTTACTTGTCTTCAGTGATTATTACACTAACGGACATATTTCTTACTTTGTAATTTTCTACTAAATTGAGACTATCAATTTGACAGGCGCCATCAGTTATGGTCCGCAATAGGATATTATTATCGCTCGGAACGAATTGTATGGTTTAAGTTCCCATCGTTATGTCAAGAAAGAAAAGTTTATCATTAAAATTTACAGTATCGCTATCTTTATTAGTATCGCTTTTTATGATGTTTGAACTAACATGAGATCTCAATTTTAATCATAGTTTGTTTTTCTTATACTACACATAGCATAACATCTACTAGTATAGATGTTTAAAAGTTATTTTTATGTTAAACTAGTATTTTTCTATGACAATGAATTTAATATTAAGCAGTTAATGTATTCGCATCCTTCATAAGTACAACGTAATGACATCACAAATTATAAACGTATTTAGTCGGAATTGTGGTTCCGATGAGCACAAAGCATATCAATTAATAATCTACAAGTTAGTTCTACTGACGTTAGAGCAAATACCTTGACTTTTCTAGGAAGCGATGATTCCATTTCCACGTGTCTGTAATGTTCAGCGGATCTGTGCACTGATCCTCCTCTAACATCTTCAGCTGATGCTTTCTCTTCACCTCGAGTTAAAGTAGTCACCTTCCTCACAATCCTCGTGGTGATCCTTCGTTGACCGCTGACATCGTCTTTCTTCGAGATTTTGGTCGACTCTAACGAAGAGCCTAGAACCTCGGTCGACATTCTCTTGTTCGTGTGAATCGCCTGCAACTCTGACATTCCTAAGCCACCGGCTGACGTCGGTACAGCTAAAGCGCTCCCTCCGTCGTATTCAAAGTGAGTCTGGTTCCCGTCGTGGACAATTCGTCCATTGTAACTCTCTTCTCGATATGACCCAGAACGGTAACTAGATGTTCGCTCCATTCCTGGATAGTTTCCATCATAAACTGTTTCATGTCTCGTCAATCCTTCCCTCAAACTTCTGGGTACAGAAGCCAAGTTTAAGCTTGTAGTAATGGGAGACCCGACGGGTGACGGAGAGGATTTCTTCAAGCTTGATTTCAGGGGTTTCGATTCATCGCTTTCTAGCGTACCCTGAACGAACAGACGCTTGCTACTTCCGCCTTCTTTTACAAATCGGTACATCGACATCTTCTCTCCGCTTAGGCCTTAAGGCCTTCGTAACACATAATACTGTTCTCTGCAATGGATTTACCTCTTATTACAGATTCGATACGCGTCGCGTTTGCTTATTCATGTACCGGTGACAAGTTATGGTGTGAATTCTTAAGACATTAAGGAAAGGTATGCTAAGCTATTCTCTTGTAATATTGTGTAATGTTGTTTTGTGAAAACTGAAATGTAGTTCAAACGGTCATTTCTGCTTTACAGATTACTACTGTGTTTCAGCCGAACAAATATTTGAAAGCTACAATAGTATCAGTCAGTCTCATTATAATCTAAAGTAATTAATGCAAGGCAATCCCTTGAAAGTAAACCGATGGATGTTGAAACTAAAAGTGGTCGTATGGTAAGTACTGGACGGATTAGGCGCGGTGCTGAACCGTATATGGATCGCACGCGCCGCCAGTATGGCGGGGCCCTTCCGGCGGACGTAAGCAGGAAACTTAAGGACAAGATTTTAAATTTTAACGAGAGTATCCGTGACTGTGAGACAGATGAAACTGTTTCTCCATAATCGATGAAGTTCTCTCCTTAACTTATGCAAAAGGGTGATACCAAATTTCTATACCAAAAATGTTAATGGCGAAGACTTTATGCCAAATGCAGAAACGCTTCTGCCTTTTTAAAGTAAAAGAAGAAAAAACACTATAATCAACAACGAAAGAGAAAACTTAATTACTGTAGATGATTACTATTGATTTGAAGGTCACAGATACGGTACGGGAGAAAGTAAGCCAAATAATAATATCGATGAAGTATATCCTACAAAAAACAATACTTAGATAGATAGTAGCATTGTAAAAAATAATCAAATAAATTGAGAAAATTGCTGTTTAGATTATATGTATTAAGTAATTAATGAATGTCAATGTCGAACCAAAGCTGAACTTGACCTAAATTGTTATGTTAAATGATTTTTACATAACTGGTTACATAATATTCTTAGTTTAAAGTAACGATGATATAATAGTTATTAAAGTGGTTGCAAGGTAAAGATATCGTGTTGGTGGTTGATTTTTAACGCCATGTAGGTACACTAGAAATCAAAATGTCGGTTGTTGAAACTTTTTTATTGTTAAATCCTCAAATCAGGCGACGCAACTATTTTTTTAACGTCTAAAATAATATTCCGTCCTATCTATATTACAACAATTTTAAATTTTCTTTATCAACGAAATCCGACAACGGAAATCCAACGTACATAAGTTATCGTGCAAAACAATGTTCACAAGAAACTTAACATATAAAACAACGGAAATGCAATTTTGAGGTTTTAAATAGAGTAGGAAATTGTTAAACGTATGCTTGGTCATATTTTTCAATAGCAAATAAAGACATTAAAATAATCTATAAATACTATAAAACTGCCTTAGTCATAAAAGAATTGTGAAATTTGTAATTTTTTAAATAACTCATAGAAGATGACACAGCAGTTTAGATTGAGACAAAAATTTCGATTCATTTTGAAATAGTTTCTCATTAGGATGTTTCTTTAAGTGACAGAAGAAAACATAGCGAAAAACTAAAGAATAAAGTACATTACTATAATGAAGAATAAATAAAATATATGTACAATGACCACATATACGCTGCTAACGAGGCAGGCCAGATAAATGTGCTAATTACTATTGTTTATGTCGAGGCCCCTTCAAATATGCCACTTGCTATTGTGCAATACGTGCTTTGAATACCAGCGGTGTAGCTAAGCCGGCGCATCTATGGTGGGCTGATAGTCGTTATGGCAAATCGAAGAGAATGAAATGAATATGCGTTTGTAAAACATAAAAATCTTAAAGTCTTTGCAGTGTCCAAAATTTGGGAATGTAGAAAAATGAAAATATAAATTAAGTAATGTTACTGGTTCTGATAAAATTATTCGTATCTTAAAAAGAAGAAGTTGGAAGCGGTAAAAAAAGAAGTCAAATAAAGAAACTACTAAATATGACCTACAAGCACTGTTAATATTTACATAATATAAATATAAAAACAGCTTCAAAATGCCACTGCATTTGCTATCGATATATCCATCAATATTATCTTAATTCTTGTGTCATTTCATTTCCTATCTTTTAACACTTTCATTTTGAGGTATGCAAACTGTCAGATGTTTATCCTGATTACATAATAATATTGTATGGACCTCGATGATTATGAGATTATTTGAATCTTCCGTCATGTCTGGAAATTTTCGTTTCTTCATCTGTTTTGACAGTATCATTATGAACACTCGAATCATCTTTGTATATAGCTACATCTATACTTGATACATTATTTCTTATTTGAATTTATTTATTTATCTATTCAAAGTTCTGTGAAGAGAATCAAGCTATAGACCGTCAAATTTTCCGTTGTAGTTTGGATTTTGTTAAACATTTACTGCAATTATATTATTAATTGCTTTTAGGTCCAGACCTATTTTCTATTTCGTAATCAACTCCTACACATACTAGCTTTTTGTATGTAATTATTATCAAAGGTTCTTCAATTTCGTATCCTGAACCTCGACTAACGTCTTATTATTTAGAATCTGCAATTCTAAAACTATCTAGCAAAACATCGTCTTCATCAGTTTTAAAGTTATTAGCATTTTTATTAAGTCTGTGTTCACTTAGACAAGGATAAACAAAAAAGATGTCGTTTTTTACTCCTTCTGTTTGTTTCAACATAAATCTTGTTCGGTCTACATTGATATTATATCCTGTGTGGGTTATGAGTTAAATAGTTTTTTACGCAGGTGTTACATTTCAATGGCGACACCCACTACTCCGGACCTTGGTGGTCTTTATATGGAATCGACATTTTATGGCATAATTTTCGGGTTACAATTTAATTGGGCGTTGGAATTCTTGCATAATGCAGTTTTTATTGATTTGGACAAAGCATTTGCTTCTAATTCCATATTGATGTGTTGATGTGCATTTATTTCAATTAAATGACAATATTTTTAGCCAGTATTTTTAAGAGCCTATTGTCAAATACAATAATAAATCCATTTAGAGGGAAAAAAATTAATTTATTATTGTTTATAAGAATTCCATTCTTTCATCAGACAAAAATATGCTTTATTAAGAGATATTTATCAATCAAAGATATTTCTAGGTGTCTTCTTTTGTTTTTGTATATAATATATTCTAGGCTTGACAATAAACAGTTAAAACATGGTAAGACACTATATTTAATAGATCAAGTCAATATTTTTATGACTTGTATTGTTTTCTTGTCGCGTGCAAGTTTATAACATGACTTAACATCACACCAGTTTACACTAGGGGTAGTCAGAAGTTTTTTTTCTTTTATACCAACTTTTCACCACATAATCTACTAAAACTTTGTCGGCTCCGGGAACCGATGTAAAGATCACGGAATTGTCACAATTGGAACTTCTCCATCATCAGTATGATATTATAATTAATTCTATAACAATTTATTGTTAAAAGTGGGCGACTCAATGTCTTATTAGCAGTGCATTAAGGGTTTAGAAGGTTGATTTCAACATGGATCCTATTTAGAACGATTGCCTAATCGCGTAGGATGGGCCCTTAGGCTCTATATACCAGAGTACTGAGACGTCACCTTAAACAAAACATTTTTACATTCAAAACAGTAACTTAAATTCAGTTATTAGTGTACGCTGTTCGATATATGATTAATGCAATAAGTCCTTGCAACAAATAGACCAATAACCGGTAATTAGACATTTCAAAATTCGAACATCATCATAAAATTCATTGATAAAACAACAATGCCACAATAAACCGTTACTTGTCACCGGTATCTATGATTAAAAAAAACGTATCGAATCCCTAATTCACATCACTACACAAAATAAAAAAACACAACACACCACCAAAGTTCGATTTTCAAAACACTATTAGTAGGTTAGTCGTGTTAAAATTCAAATTTCGTGTTCGAAGTCGATTTTTTTAATTTGTTTTTCGAACGCGGTGCGCGCGCGTCTAGGCCGGTAGCGTGCAGGTGACTGGCGCTCGCGCAAGTATACGGTAAGTTACCCATGACGGGTTGGAAAAAAAATAAAAAGTATTTCGTACGTGGGATTATGAAGTTTAATAAGGCTGTATTGAATTATCTTGCGCGTTGTTATCGATGATTTTATGTAATTTTAGATAATTGATTTATATTGTAATTTATTATCTAACAAAGGTTTCTCCGCTGTATTACAAGTATTTTTCTAATGCACATTTTTTTAACACTTCTTTTTTTGCTTTTCTTTACACGATTTTCTACATGATTAGAATAATCATGGGAATAGCTGGATGGTTAGTTATGGATTCTCAGGGAGATAAAATTAATTGAGTACAGTTGGGTAAAAAGGCTTAGATTAATTGGATTAAATGAATTAACCTTAGCACTTTTCAAAAGCCATAAAATAGTTTGGTAATAATACGATATTCCGTTACTATGAAATGTGACTGTGTATAAAATAAACATAGTAAATAGGTAGTGGTGGTGGCAAACATAATAATGTATTATTGTGCATTGACCTTTTCCCCTTGTAATAAGACGAATGATTACACATTTTCTGTGACATACATTACGCACCAATATTTATTTATCATAGTCAACGGAGTAGCAATTTATAAATTAACTCAAAAGGCTTTATCAAAACAATGTAAACGTACTTTTTTTCAAATTCCTAATAAATGTAACACTTTTAAGTGTGGACGGGATGTTTGTTTGTAGTTCGTCCACGTAAAAACAACTGAACGGATTTGAATCAAATTTAGCATAGAGTGTAGAGATAGATTATAGTGTGGAATAACACATACTCGTATGACCGACATAAGTACTTAATAAAAACATGATATGGTGTTCCTAAGTCATTCATTATTACGACTTTAGTAATTAATGCTAATGACCACCAGTAGATGGCGTTACATTTGCGTAGTCCT